CTCCCTAGAATTTAAACTACCCTGTCACCCTCACTTTCAATCAAACTCTCAGATTCTGTTATAGTCACTCTCCTTTCCCACATTATCCCCAAATGAGAACCACTAGCTAGAGCACCTCTGAGGTTCTTTCCAGATCTAACGTTCTATTGCTCTTCAGATTTCCAGGACAGAAGTGAATGAAATATTATTAACACTGTATATAAGCAAAGAGGCCTGTGTGTCACATGGCTGGGACTCAGGGATGCTGAGACAATGGCAGCACAAAGCCCTGAGGGTGGATACATCCTGGGTGTACCCTTTTTTCCTGGGGTCTCAGAGGGCACATGGAAGGCCTTGCCCAGGGCATAGCTGAGGAAGCACATGTTGGCATCTCACTGCCTCCTTGTCTTTCAGGTGTGACTCATCCATAGGGAGGAGACTAAAACCTTTTGTTTGCAATCAACTTGCTCTGAACCTGTGCTTAGTATACCTTCCTGGTCTCTGGAGACAATGGAAACAGGACAAGCAGGTCAGACAGAAAAACTGCACAATGGTGACTTGGCTTTCCTTCTTCTGGGTCTCACTCACTGTCACCATGGGGCCCACACCACACACACATTTGCCAAACGAGCACACTTGCCACAAACATGTATGCATTGGTCCACCACTGGTCAACCCACTAGGGCTCCATCTACTACTTGGATACTCAGACCTAACACCTCATGCACACGTGTGCATTCACGTACACTCTTTCTCTTTCACAGTTTGTTCAAATATAAACATATAACCTGTCCATACACAAATAACTCTTCAAAAACATACCCCATCCATAAATAAGCACAAATGTCCCAAAGCTATATCCCTCTCTCTCTTCCTCTTGCTCTCTCTGTCTCTGTCTCTGTCTCTCTCTCTCTCTCTCACACACACACACTCTGTTCACTTCTGTACACACCCATACACACACTACAGCCAATCCTCCCTCCCACAATATCCTGTTATATACGTTTACAGACTTTGTCCCCACCATTTTATCCATACCTCACATTTAGCTGCCAGCAACAGTTTCTTTCATACACAAAAACACAAATGCACTTGTGCTCAGTTCTTTCACATAGACTTATTTCTTTTCTATATTATGCCCTTCACTTCTCAACTTCACCCTCATATAAACCCTGATCACTTACACATATATACACTCTGCCCCACCATCCTACCCACAACACACACTTGGTTTCCATCAACCATCTTTATTCTTACATACACATACATGCATACACTCATGCATATGTGTACACACATGCCCACACACACAGCACATGGTGGCTGCCCCCACTCAGCCTTCACAGGCACACAACATACTGAGCTATCATAAACTCCCCACCATAGCCCCGTGGACATCACACATCTTGTCCTCTCCCCACTATCCCTTTCTATCTCCCTATCATCACCTCAAACACAGCATATGCTGCTCAAATATGCACAATTACTCCACCCCAAATAGCTCTCCCTTTCCCTTACATATTATTACAACATTAAAAGAATGGTGAGGTCTGGAATGGTGGCTCACACCTGTAATCCCAGTACTTTGGGAGGCAGAGGCAGGTGGATCTCTTGAGGTCTGGGGTTTGAGACCAACCTGGCCAACACAGTGAAACCCCATCTTTACAAAAAATACAAAAATTAGCTGGGCATGGTTGTGGGTACCCATAATCCCAGCTATTCGGGAGACAGAGGCAGGAGAATTGCTTGAACCTGAGAGGTGGAGGTTGCAGTCAGCTGAGATCATGCCACTGCACTCCAGCCTGGTTGACAGAGCAAGACTCTGTCTCAAAAAAAAAAAAAAAAAAAAAAAAAAAAAGAATGAAAAGAATGGTGAGATACATAAGAATTCCAGGTTTATTGCGGGGAATGTTTGTGCTTACCTTCACACCTACGAATTGTTTTTTCTCTCATGTTGAAGGACTAATGCAGGGTGTTTGTTAGCAACAGTTTTGAGTGACATAAAATTTCCCGCATAGACATGTAGTCAGTTACCACACATCTTCAATGCTTATAGCACATTCCTTTTGAAAAGGCCAAGGAGAGCCCGGCCACACACAGACACAGAAACATAAATCAAAGATAAACTGAAAAATTAAAGGCTTTTTACTCTCTGTTACTGGAAACCACCTCTTCGTCTTTACGCTCTCGAAGGCCTGAAACAAAAGGGAGTTGGCACATCATTAATGTTTGCATGCATCTGTTATATGTCCTTGTTCTCAGAAGAGCAGAACTCAGTAACATGTGCAACTTCAGTAACATGTGCAACTTTTAAGCTGAAAAAATAAAAGTGTGTGTGTGGAGACGGTGCATTAGCATTCTTGAATCTTAGATTCAGAAGTAGTTTAACTAATTTTCATTGCCCCTAGTCCAGATATTCTGTCTGTGACAGCAGTGCCATAGTGGTGGAAATTAGACCTCCTCCTGAACATTGCCAAGGGTAGGAAGGTCTTGACTTCTCAACACCACCACTTTGATCTCTGGTGCTAAGAAAAGTTTCCCAGATGTTGAAGTCAGAATGATTTCCCGAAGTGTTCATGCTATTGGCCCTGGTCCTTCCCTCTGGAACAAAACAGAATGCTCTGTTCTGCCTGTTCCAATGAAAAAACCTATAGGGAATATGCTCTTTAATTAACTAATTCAATCACCCAGCAGACATGTATTGAATTTCACTGTATGCCATGCAACACAGTGGCTACTGTAGACATATGGATGAGAAAACCAGTCAACATCTGTATTGTAAAATGTGGTAACAGTTACTTTTCTGGGGGTTCTTGGAAATAGAATTATGAAAGAGAACTTGAGTAAATGGGAAGAACTGTTCAGGTAAATTGAGAAAGCGACATGATTATTCAATAGACTCAGGATTCGTTAGTAATTTCTGCTTTCCTGTTGAAATGGGAACTTGAGAGGGGCAGAAACTGCAGGAGCAGAGGATTTGACATCAGATGAGGCTGAGAGGGTTTTGGTCCCAAGAAAACTAAAGACATGCTGATGGACTACAAGGAGGTCAGATGGTAGGCATCTCTTATGTTGTTCAGGACAGCCCATGATCCATGGGTGCCCATGATGACAGGGTTTGAAGATAAAATAAAGAAAATTTAATCCTTTCTTTTTTTTTTTTTTTTTCGAGAAGGAGTTTTGCTCTTGTTGCCCAAGCTGGAGGGCAATGGTGAGATCTTGTCTGACTGCAAACTCTGCCTCCCAGGTTCTAGCGATTCTCCTGACTCAGCCTCCTGGGTAGCTGGGATTACAGGTGTCCGCCACTATGCCCAGCTAAGTTTTTGTATTTTTAGTAGAAACAGCTTTCACCATGTTAACTAGGCTGGTCTTGAACTCCTGACCTCAGGTAATCCACCTGCCTTGGCCTCCCAAAGTGCTAGGATTACAGGTGTGAGCCCCCGTGCCTGGCCAAACATTCAATTATGTTTGAATTTAAGCTAGATAAACCGGGCACGGTGGCTCAAGCCTGTAATCCCAGCACTTTGGGAGGCCGAGGCGGGTGGATCACAAGGTCAAGAGATCGAGACCATCCTGTTCAACATGGTGAAACCCCATCTCTACTAAAAATACAAAAGGTTAGCTGGGCATGGTGGTGCGTGCCTGTAATCCCAGCTACTCAGGAGGCTGAGACAGGAGAATTGCCTGAACCCAGGAGGCGGAGGTTGCGGTGAGCCGAGATCGCATCATTGCACTCCAGCCTGGGTAACAACAGCGAAACTCCGTCTCAAAAAAAAAAAAAAGCTAGATAAATAATTTTTCCTTTTATTTATTTATTATTTTTTATTATTATGCAATGACTCACTCAGAAGATAATTTTTTATTATAAGTACATGCTATGCAATATATGAAACATTATACTAAAAATGTATCCATTTTTATCTAAAATTCAAATGTAACTGTGGATCCTGCATTTTAATTAGCTAAATTTGACAAGCTTATATTATGCTAATAATAAGAAAGCTAGGGTTCTCTGGTTTGCATAACGAACTGACCTTTTCAATTGGCTAGAAAACAGACACGAAGTAAATGGAGCCAAACCAGAGGAAGCCAGAGTCCTGGAGACCTGAAATAGATAGAAAGAACAGAAGGAGAGGGTCAGAAATGGAACTGGCAAGTGGTAATGGAGCTAGGGCCAATGACCTAGGGTCTAGTCCTAGCATAGCCAGAATCCTACAGATACTATAGGATTTGGTTTTGTTGCTAAACAAAATCCATCTCAGATCAGGTGCGTATCTTAATTTAACATTTTGGGCAGCTAGAAATTAAGTGGCAAGGAGCCAGAAGCTATAGACTGTCTCTACTGTGCTAATTGCATTTTTGGCTTGGTGATAGTTCACTTTTGGATTCACTTATAAACTGAAATTTTATTTTTTCTAACTATTCATGTAGCCAACTTATTTGTTTGCTACCTCATTTTCAGAGTAAAACTTACTTTTGGAAAACTTCAACTGCTCAGAGAAGAAAAGGATGTTTCCTATGCTGAGGACTGGCTACATAATTTGTGGGGCTCAGTGCAAAATGAAAATGCCAGACTTTTTATCAAAGAGTTGTTAATTTAGGCATGGTGACTTGCATCTGTAATCCCAGCTACTTGAGAAGCTGAGGCAGGAGGATCACTTGAGTCCAGGAGTTCAAGACCAGCCTGGGCAACATAATAAGACTCTGTCTCTAAAAAAAGATTAAGAAATTGTTATGAATTTTTAAAAGTTTCAAGAGATATACTGCACAACATGATGACTATAGTTAGCAATAGCATACTGCATACTTGAAAAATGGCTAAGAGAGTAGATTTGTAGTGTCCTCACCACAAAAAAGTATTAGCATGTGAAGTAATAAATATGTTAATTAGCTTGATTTAGCCATTCTATAATGTAGACATATATCAAAGCAACATTTTGTACATGATAAATATATATAATTTTTATTTGCCAATTAAATAAAATTATTTTTAAACTTAAAAATTTTTATTTATTATAAATAAAAATTTGAAATGCTTCATGAATTTGTGTGTCATGCTTGCTCAGAGACTATGCTAATCTTCTCCGTATTGTTCCAATTTTAGTGTATATGCTGCCAAAGTGAGCACAAATAAAATAAAATAAAATAATTTCAAGGAGACTAAAACTGAGCATGGGGTTTTAAGTGTAGGACTCTGTGCAGCAATACAGATCATACACTTATAAAATCAACGCTGTCCATACCTTAATCATGATAGAGAGATAAATCTGTATACTTAGAGGGACTGTGATGGGAGAAGTTTGGACTCATTTCAGAACTTACAAGAATAGAAGGACATGGGCGGAGAGGGGAACACAGGTAGGAGAGAGATGAGGTCAACTGAAACTATTGCTATAATTCTGAGATCTAACAGGTCTCTTCCTACTTTTTTTATTTTTATTTTTTGAGAGTCTTGCTCTGTCACCCAAGCTGACATGTAGTGGCACAATCTCAGCTCACCGCAACTTCAGCATCCTGGGTTCAAGCAATTCTCCTCCCTCAGCCTTGCAAGTAGCTGGGATTATAGGAATGTGCTATGACACCTAGCTAATTTTTTTATTTTTAATAAAGATGGGGTTTTGCCATGTTGGCCAGGCTGGTCTCGAACTCCTGACCTCAAGAGGTTCACCGGCCTTGGCCTCCCAAAGCGCTGGGATTACAGGTGTGAGCCACCACACCTAGCCTTTACATCTGATTTAAGTTTTGTCTTATTGATTTCATACCAGCATTCCAGCCAATTGAGATCATTTTAGATATAGAGTCTGTAATTTATGATCTTTGCTTTGAGTCACCAGCTGATTTGGTAATTCTGCTATGCATATCTTCATACACATTTCTGTGAAAACTGCCTCACAGGGCAGGGCTAGGGAGAGACTGAATCCTCCACAAGACTTGCATCGGAGTGACGCAAAGACAATAATTCTACCATTTCAGGTGTGGCTCTGTCAAATGTAGAAGTGTGTAAGAAGTCATAAAAGAAACTTATTTGACAATCCCAGGGAAGTGAATGATCTGAAGGTTATTTGAAATATTTTTTTAGGGCAAATGTTATAAATACAAGTATCACCATTAAAAGTATTAAACTACCTAAGGAAATACTGGTAGGCATAAGATACAAATTAAGGAAAAAAAATGAGGCAGGGGAAGAATGGGCAAAGAGGAAGGAAGCAGATCAAAAGGAAGGATAGAAAGATAAGAGAGAGAGAGAGAGAGAGTCTCTCATTGACATCAGTTCTAAAAGCCCCGTGTCCTTGTTTGAAGATTTATCATTTCCTGTCCCTGAATGTAAAATGAGGCTAATAGCCAGTCTTTGAAGAGCCTTCCTTGTGAGTATAATAATTGGACTTATGGGCCACATCAAATAAAAGTCTGGATTTCCTGAGACTGATCCAAACTAACTTGGAACTCTTTGAGGTTTTGTTTCTTCTTGACACAGATGGTCATGCCCCTCTATCTTATGAGAAATGGAATTAACATTCTTCCGATTTAAGTTAAATACTGCCAGGAAAATCAGCTGAGAATAATTGAAAAATTATTCCTTAACTATTCCTATTAATAACCATTGCCCTTAGCAAATACTAACTACTAAGAAAAAATTAAATGTATGAAAATTTTCCTTTCGGTTTCCTTGCCTTACAGTTCGGTCTGATTAAATGACATAGAATAAGATTTTATTCTTCTCAGCCTTTTAAGAATTCTACCAAAGAAGAGCGTTAAAAGTAAGAGCCAATTTTATTTTACTTAAATGTCATCATTAGTAGGGGGGACAAGGACTCTCCTGTATCCACATTCACACAAAAAGCCATGCCACCTACACAATTTCACCATGTGCTCTGGTTTTCCATGAGGTTATCTGTAATAGCTCTTTCGCTTGAAATGCCCTTTTCCTCTTGCCTGCTTCCCCCACCTCTACTTGTCCTTTAATAAATTAATTCAAGCATCACCTCCATAAAAGTATCACCTACTCATCCAGTTAAGGAATATAGATGTCCCACCTCGGTTTCTGGATGTATTAACAGTCTCTGTTTCCTCTAAACAGAGTATTAAAGGCAGAAACTCAGCTGGGCATGGTGGCTCACACCTGTAATCCCAGCACTTTAGGAGACTGAGGGGGGAAGATCACATGAGGTCAGAAGTTCAAGACCAGCCTGGCCCACTCCTGATCTCTTTTCACCATCAAGAGATGGTGAAACCCTATCTCTACTTAAAAAAAAAAAAAAAAAATCTGCCAGACATGGTGGTGGGTGCCTGTAGTCCCAGCTACTCAGGAGGCTGAGGCAGGAGAATCGCTTGAACCCTAGAGGCGGAGGTTGCAGTGAGCTGAACTCACTCCACTGCACTCCAGCCTGGGAGACAGAGTGAGACTCTGTCTCAAAACCAAACCGAAACAAAACAAAACAAAAATAAAGAAAGAAAGGCAGAAACTGATTATAGTTCATCACTATACCATTCATACTTAATAGCATCTGGCATGTTATGGGTGTTCAGGAAATGTTTTGTGTAAAGAGACGGAAAAGGAAGAAGAGAAGAGAGGAAAGAAGAAAGGAAAGGAGACAGAAATAGATTATAAAATATCATCCTTCAAAATAGCTTTTATAGTTTAATGTCTGAAAAAGAGTAGGCAATCTTTAAAAGACTCTTCTAGTCTCATAATTCTAATCTACCTTTTTATTTAGAGGTTTTCATCTACCTGTATGACCCATGATTCAAAGAGAAGACAGAAGACCATTTGGCAGAGCTGCATTGCAGGTGTTCAATGAATGCCATCCTGATAATTTAATGAAATCTGATGAATGCCATCCAGATGAATGCCATCCTCATAGTTTAACAAAATCTTCAAGTTTTTGATGAATGTTCAAGTGCACTTTGCAATGATATTTATAACCAAAGTGTGTTATCATGAAAAATGAGTGTGCTGATTTTGGTAGTTCAAAACAACGTAAGACAATTTTTTTTTTTTTTTTTTTTTTTTTTTTTTTTTTTTTTTTTGAGACGGAGTTTCGCTCTTGTTACCCAGGCTGGAGTGCAATGGCACGATCTCGGCTCACCGCAACCTCCACCTCCTGGGTTCAGGCAATTCTCCTGCCTCAGCCTCCTGAGTAGCTGGGATTACAGGCACGCGCCACCATGCCCAGCAAATTTTTTGTATTTTTTAGTAGAGACGGGTTTCACCATGTTGACCAGGATGGTCTCGATCTCTTGACCTCGTGATCCACCCACCTCGGCCTCCCAAAGTGCTGGGATTACAGGCTTGAGCCACCGCGCCCGGCCGACAATTTTTTAAATATACAATGAAGAAACTGAGATTGACAAATCAATTATCCATTAGAGAAAATTTGGAACATAGTAGCCTTCCAAGGAGTAGTTTCAACCAAAGGCCAAAGGCATGCTACCCAAGAATTCAGCATTTCTCAGACCCTCCCACTCCCTACTCTCATTGTAGCATGCACTGTGTTAGAAGGTGGTACTCAAAAGGGGAGGTGGAAGCATCTTTAGAATAATTTGCTGTGACTCCCAGAGAAATAGCAAAGTTATTTGCTATTTGACAAGAGTTTTGGGAACCTTTTTAGAAACATGCCTGCACATTTTCCCTAAATGGCTCTCTAGTGGTGTAAAAATAAAGGAATACCTAATGCGGACCCAGAGTGACACTTCTTTCATTTCCTTTTCAGTCGTAAGACCAGAGAATTTTTTCTGGATTCCACATGTGGAGGTTGGGATAAAATTCAGTTGTAATGTGTGCCTTCAACGTCATGGAAATACCTTTCAAATAAATGTGTTTATATGCTGAAAACTTAAAGGCCCTTTGGGAAAAACTCTAGGAAAAAAAATATCCAGGGACAATTCCCCATCCTAGTTAGTACCTAAGTACATGCCTTTGATGTCTCAGAGTAAGGAAGACAGTGTATGTTCAGGATTAATCTCTCTCCTAAAGATACACATGTGCAGGCTGGGCGCGGTGGCTCAAGCCTGTAATCCCAGCACTTTGGGAGGCCGAGGTGGGTGGATCACGAGGTCAAGAGATCGAGACCATCCTGGTCAACATGGTGAAACCCCATCTCTACTAAAAATACAAAAAATTAGCTGGGCATGGTGGCGTGTGCCTGTAATCCCAGCTACTCAGGAGGCTGAGGCAGGAGAATTGCCTGAACCCAGGAGGCGGAGGTTGCGGTGAGCCGAGATCGTGCCATACTCCAGCCTGGGTTAACAAGAGCAAAACTCCGTCTCAAAAAAAAAAAAAAAAAAAAAAAAAAAAAGATACACATGTGCATTTCCAAACTTCCCATCTGACATTTCTGCTGGAATGGCCCATCAAACCCCGTATTTAAAAAAGTAAAGTTCCGGCTGGGCGCGGTGGCTCACACCTGTAATCCTAGCACTTTGGGAGGCCAAGGTGGGTGGATCACCTGAGGTCAGGAGTTCAAGACCAGCCTGGCCATCATAGTGAAACCCCATCTTAAAAAAAAAAAAAAAAAAAAAAAAGCAAAGTTCCAAGATCAGGCACAGTGGCTCACACCTATAATCATAGCACTTTGGGAGGCCAAGGCAGGAGGATTACGTGAGCTCAGGGGTTCAAGACCAGCAGGGGCGATATAGTAAGACCTCATCTCTATTTATTTTTAAGAAAAATAAATAAATAGCATATATGTGGTGGCTCACACCAGTAATCCCAGCACTTTGGGAGGCCAATGAGGGGGTGGATCACTTGAGGTCAGAAGTTTGAGACCAGCCTGGTCAACATGGTGAAATACTGTCTCTACTAAAAACCCCAAAAATAGCCAGGTGTGGTATCCATGCCTGTAATCTCAGCTACTCAGGAGGCTGAGGCAGAAGAATCACTTGAACCTGGGAGGCAGAGGAGAGCTGAGACTGTGCCACTGCATTTCAGCCAGGGCGACAGAGTGAATGAGACTCCATCTAGAAAAAAAAAAGCAAAGAAAAAAGAAAAATAGGCTGGGCATGGTGGCTTACGTCTATAATCCCAGCACTTTGGAAGGCTGAGGTTGGTGGATCACTTGAGTTCAGGAGTTCAAGACCATCCTGGCTGACACGGTAAAGACCCCTGTCTCTACTAAAAATATAGAAATT